TAATATAATATGGTGTGTCAATTATATCTCAATAAATTAAAAATGGTAAAAGAAAGTATTTTGTTGTGGTTTTAATTTTCATTTTGCTAATGACTAATAATGTGCATCTTTTCATGTGCTTGTCATTGGTATACCTTTTTTGGTGAAGTATTTTTCAAATCTTTTGCCCATCTTTTTAGGTTGAATTTTTTATTATTAAGCTTTGGGACTTCTATATTTTAGAAACAAGTGCTTTATCAGATATACGATTTGCATACGTTTTCTCCAAGTTTATGGTGTGTCTTTTTATTCTCTTAACAGTATCTTTCAAAGAGAAGTTTTTAATTTTGGTGTTCTAATTTATTAGTTTGGGTTTTATGAATCATGCTTTTTGTATTTAAGAACTCTTTGCCCAACCTCAGGTCATCAAGATTTTCTCCAATTTTTTTTTTCTAGAAAGTTTATAGTCTTATAGTTTGTTTTTTCCCAGTGTGATGAGCCTTTATTGTTTGCAATGGGAAGTAGAAGGAGACACAACAGCTCCAGCTCCATGGGCAACTCCAAAGACCTACTCTATCATTGTCACTGAAAAAACTACTGTTAGGTTTTACATTTACATGTTAAGCTAGTTTTGTATAAGGTTTTGAATGGATTTAAGTTCTTTTAAAAATATATGGATATCCATTATTCCATTACCATTTGTTGAAGTGCTACCCTTTTTCCACTAAATTGCCTTTGCATCTTTGCTGGAAATTAGCACCATATATGTATTGGTCTAATTCTGGACTCTCTATTCTGTTCCATTGACTTTCTATTCTGTTCCATTGGTCTGTCTTTATTTACACCAATAACAGACTTTCTCGATTATTATTACAGGTTATAATAACTCTTGAAATCAAGTAGTTTTAGTCTTCCAACTTAATTCTTTTTCTGTTTGGATATTCTAGGTTCTTTGAATTTCCATATGAATTTTAAAATCTGTTGGTCAATTTCTATTTTAAAAAAGGCTTTGGGGATTTTTACTGGATTGCATTTAATCTACAGATCAATTTGCTAAGACTAGACATATTAATAAGATAGAGCCTTCCAACCCATGGATACAGTAAATCACTCCATTTATCTAATTCTTCCTTTGTTTCTCTCAGCAATGGTCTATAGTTCTCAGTGTACCTGTATTTCACATTTTTTTGTTAGATTTATCCATAAGGATTTCATAGGTTTTGATGCTAATGTGAATGGTAATTTTTAATTTCAATTGTTCATTGTTAGTATATAAAAATACAATTATTATATATTGTTCTTGTATCCTTCAACCTTGTAAACTCATTAGCTCCAGCTTTTTTGTAGATTTCAATAGATTTGTTTTATATAGATAAAAATGTTTGCAAGTAAAGAGAATTTTACTTCTTCCTTACCATCTGTATGTTTTTTATTTCTTTTCTTGCCTTATTTTCTTGGCTAGAATTTCCAGTAGAATGTTGAACAGGAGTGATAAGAGTGGATGTTGCTGTTGTAGGGGAAAAGTATTCAGCCTTTCACCATTAGGTATTATGTTAGCTGTGGTTTTTTGTTTGTTTGTTTGTTTGGTTGGTTGGTTTTGTTTTAAATCAAATAGAGGAAGTTCATCTCTAGTTTTAGTTCATTGAGAATTTTTAATCAGGAACAGATATTGGCTTTTGTCAAATGCATTTTCTGTGCCTTTTGAGATGATCATATGCTTTTTCTTTTAGTTTATTAATATGATAAATTGATTTTCGAGTGTTAATCCAATCTTGCATTCCTGGGATAAACTCCACTTGGACATGACATATTGTTTAAAAATATTTGTTTTGGGGCTGTTTCCAAAATTTGACTATTGTAGATAATGCTGCTATAAACATCAGGGTGCATGTATCCCTTTGAATTAGTATTTTTGCATTGTTTGGGTCAATGCCTAGTAGTGTAATTGCTGGATTGTAGGGTTCTATTTTTAATTGTTTGAGGAACCTCCATACTGTTTTCCACACTGGCTGCACCAGTTTGCATTCCTACCAACAGTGCAAGAAGGTTCCCTTTTCTACACATCCTTGCCAACATCTGTTGTTTCTTCTGTTGCTGATTTTAGCCATTCTGATAGGTAGGAGGTGATATCTCAGTGAAGTTTTGGTTTGCATTTCCCTGATGATGAGTGATGTTAAGCACTTTTTCATGTATCTTTTGGCCATCTGTATGTCTTCTTTGGGAAAATGTCTATTCATGTCTTCTGCCCATTTTAAAATTTGACTATTCATTTTTTTGGTGTTAAGTTTTATAAGTTCTTTCTATATTTTGGATACTAACCCTTTATCAGACATGTCATTTGCAAATATGTTCTCCCATTCCATAGGTTGCTTTTCAGTTTTGTTGATTGTTTCCTTCGCTGTGCAGAAACATTTTATTTTGATGAAGTCCCAATAGTTTAGTTTTGCTTTTATTTCCTTTGCCTCAGGAGACATACTAGAAAAGTGTTGTGTTGGTCTATGTCAAAGTTACTCCCTGTGTTCTCTTCTAGGATTTTTATGGTTTCAGGTCTGACATTTAGATCTTTAATCCAGTTTGAATTTATTTTTGTGTATGGTATAAAAAAGTGGTCCAGTTTTCCAAATACCATTTGTTGAAGAGACTTTTTCCTATTGGATATTCTTTCCTGTTTTGTCAAAGATTAATTGGCCACATAGTTGTGGGTTCCCTTCTGGGCTCTCTATTCTGTTCTTTGATTTATGTGTCTATTTTTTCCCAGTACCATACTGTTTTGATCACTACAGCTTTGTAATATAACTTGAAGTCTGGAATTGTGTGCTCTTGCTCTGTGAAAAATTGTTGAAATTTTGACAGAGATTGCATTCAATGTGTAGATTGCTTTGGATAGTATAGGCGTTTTAACAATATTTGTTCTTCTAATCCATGATGAATGGATAAAGATGTGGTGTGTATAGGTATGTATGTATATATATACACACACACACACATATGACATATATATAACATATATTGTATATATTACATACACACATTGGAGTATTACTCAGCCATAAAAAGGAATGAAATATGCCATTTGCAATGACATAGATAGAGCTAAGGAGTATTATGCTAAGCAAAATAAGTCAGTCAGAGAAAGACAAATACCAAAGGATTTCACTTATATGTGGAATTGGAGAAAGACAAATATCATATCCCTTCACTCATATGAGGAATTTAAGATACAAAACAGATAAACATAAGGGAAGGGAAGCAAAAATAATATAAAAACAGGGAGAGGGACAAAACATAAGAGACTCAAATACAGAGAACAAACTGAGGCTTGCTGGAGGGGTTGTAGGTGGGGGCTATGGGTAAATGGGTAAGGTGCATTAAGGAAGCCACTTGTTGGGATGAGCCCTGGGTGTTATACATAGGGGATGAATCGCTGGAATCTACTTCTGAAATCATTATTGCACTATATGCTAACTTGGATAGAATTTAAAAATTTAATTAATTAAAAAAAATAAACAAAAAAATTTTCAGAACTCCACTTTGCAGATTACAATGTGAACTTTTTTTTTTTTTTTTTTTTTGGAGAGAAAGAGGGAGCACGCAAGTGGTGGGGGGCGGGGCGGACACAGGATCTAAAGCAGGTTCTGCATGGACAGCAGAGAGCCCAACGCGGGGCTTAAACTCAAGAACCATGAGATCATGACCTGAGCTGAAGGCAGACACTTCATCAACTGATCTACCCAGGTGCCCCACAATGTGAACTCGTAATAAGATTACTAAAATGGGGCATCTGGGTGGCTCAGTCAGTTGAGCGCCCGACTTCAGCTTAGGTCATGATCTCACAGTTTGTGGGTTCAAGCCCCACATCTGGCTCTGTTCAGAGCTTGGAGTTCAGAGTTTGGAGTCTGGAGCCTGTTTCTCATTCTGGGTCTCCCTCGCTCTCTGCTCCTCCCCTGCTGGTGCTCTCTCTCTTTCTCAAAAATAACATTAAAAATAATTTAAAAAACGATTACTAAAAATTTATTTAAGATGAGAACATAACTGATGAAGTATTTTTGTTCATATAAATAAACTTTTCTTTCTTCTATTTCTTTGGAGAATCCTTCAGCTCTTCTGTGCTTCAATTTATTCATTGGTAAAAAAAAAGAGGCAATTAGACTAGATATTTGCTAAGATTTCTTCTAGATTTAAAAATGTTATTATTCAGTCAGAGAAAGACAAAAATCATATGACTTCACTCATATTAGAACTTTAAGAGACAAAACAGATGAACATAAGGGGAGGGAAACAAAAATAATATAAAAACAGGGAAGGGGACAAAACAGAAGAGACTGATAAATATGGAGAACAAACTGAGGGTTACTGGAGGGGGTGTGGGAGGGGGATGGGATAAATGGATAATGGGCACTAAGGAATCTACTCCTGAAATCATTGTTGCATTATATGCTAACTAATTTGGATGTAAATTTTGAAAAATAAAAAATAAAATTTAAAAAGTTATTATTCCAATACTTAGAATTTACTGAGAAAAAATATTTGTAAAGTTAACTATGAAGTGCTTAATTCTAAAGTATTTTAATCTACTTATATCAATTTGAATGTAAGTATACACAGATGACTAATAAATATTTTGTAGATATTGTAAAATGAATTTTCCCCAAGTTCATTCACTTATAAGCTGCCAATCTAAAGTAATAGTGTTTTGGGAACAGAGAAAATGGAGTCACAAATAAAATCTTTACACTTCACGTTCCAAAGGAAGATAAATGTCTCTTGTTTAAGCTTCCTATTCAAAATCCATGACACTTCCTTTTAATGTCAGTGCTTTTGTTTATTAATCTTCGCAACAAGAAAGGTAAAAGTGACTGTTTTTGAAAAGACGCCTTGGCACTATTGCAGCAGCTGTGAAGTACAGGACTAAATTGTGGCATTTTAAGTTCTTCATGGATCCTGGAAATCGAGTTTGTTTTTGTGAAGAACTTGATCAGAAACAAAACAGTTTCACTGAACATTATGTTGTCTGGGCACTCTTCAAGAGCACATGGACACAATTTATTCTCTAACAGAAGCCATGCTCTGATTCAGATATAAAAGTTTCACAGAAAAACTCTGCAGGGATGTGTAAAAGGAAACATTTAAAAATTGTATTATAATTACCACAGGCTGTAAAGATACAGATTTAGTCATTTTTTACCCTTTGCTCATTCTTGGAAGATTTTAAAAACTAAAATTTGTAATGAAAAAGTTCTGGAAATCTCGTGTGTGGCTTACCATCCAATTTGTCTTTATATCTAAGATGAAAATTATACATTTTAAATAAAAGTTAAGTTCAGATCAATTTGGTGTTTTAGAAACAGCATTGTGTGCAGCAGAAGCTTCTGGCAGTGCCCTGCAACACATCCCCCAGGCCCACCTTGGATTTCAGTCACAGGTGTCGTAGAGTTCTATTCAATCTTGGACTCCCTCACCCTTTTGGTGATAGCAACCCATCTGCAGTGAATGCCCTACTTCTCCACTTTCTGACAAAATGTCCTTTATAATGCCATGGAGCCACCCAGGTGTACAGGCAAGTATATCACAGAAGTGTAGAGGAATAATGCCCTCAGTCATTGGGTCCAGGGCTAGTGGACACATGGTCCATTCTCCAGTCCTTCTGATGAACAATTCTGGGAAGGAGCTGTTCATTTCTAAGGAGGTGTTGGTCTTGGAATCAAGTCCCAAGCACCCACAGTGGAAATCTTGGTAATATACCCTTGTCCCATTCTTCCTATTCTCTCACTCTTGTCTCCTGGGATTAGTTCACAAATAAACATCTTGTGCCCGAGTGTTTGTCTCCAGATCTGTTTTAGGAAGAATAGAACATAGGACTTTGGTATGATAGTGACCCTGGAAACCATCCCCAGGGTAGGCTTCTAGAACTGGATCACTTACCCTATTGTTAGGATAAGCAGGACAGTGGTAGTCTCTGGTGTGCCTCACAATTCATAAGAATCTTAGTGGTGGTGGATTGGGACAAGAAGCCATGAGTTATCCAGCGGCTCTGTCAGTAGAATGGGTTGGGGGTAAAGGATTGCGGAATTGACTAGCATTTGTTGTCTTGGACATCTTGAAAAAGGGAAGTAAAAGACTCAGATCCATCAACTATCATCTTAGGGCACACTGAAAGCCAAAAGGCCAATTTCACAGTATTTAAAGAGATCATTATTTCCTCAGCCATAGGACAGCTGTGGTGAAAATCAGGTCCAGAGTTTAAGGGTGGCAGACCCGAAAAGGAGATGAAATGTGCAGCCTCCACACATTTGTTTTGCTAGCGCCATAGCCCTGATATCAAAGAGGGACTGAGAAAATCTGAGAGATTTTCCAGCTTGAATAGCATGCCAGCCAAAGCAGCTCTTTCTCCTTTACTAGAGGAGAGCAGCCTTGCCTTACCTGGAGGCCGTGCAGTTTTCACTTGAAATGGATACCTTCCATGGAACATGAGCTGTACCACCTCAAGATTTAATTTGTCTTTCCCCCACTGCCTTGAGAAGAATAACTAATGTCAAGTTTTAGCTGAGAGAGAAAATATAGTCCTTGATCTGGAAAGAAATAGCCTATTTACTGAATTTTAGAACTGGCTAACAAGTATTGGCAGAAATCTGGAGAACATGTGTGGGAATAGATCTGGAGTGTGTCAGACCAGAGGGGGCAGAATATAAGGCTGGATAGAAGAGAGTTTATTGACATGAGAGCACTCTTGTCACTCAACATTTAACATCCTGGCAAGGACACATGGAACTGGTGCTAACAGGCTGTCGGGATGGCTTCTTGAAACTTGGTCGTGATGGCCTATACTAAATTAGACGGAGATGCTGAAACTGCCTTGTCAAAGGACTGAGGAAGAGGTCAGTGGCAGAGAGGTGGGAATGTCAGAATAGATTTATTTCTTGTGCTGAGAGAACCAACCTACTATTTTCCCAGGAAGGATCTAGAGAACTCTCTTTACTAAGGAAATAAAGAATGTGAATAATGAGGGTGGCGCCAACATCTTTGGGAAAATCAGTGGTAGGTAGCTACATCCCGTAGGGATCCAGGGATATTGTTCATCCTGATATTCCTCAAAATCTCATGCTGGTAACTTGTATTGGTAAATCAGGCTAATAAGATTTGGCGAAGAGGAAGTAGGAAGGATCTTGGTGCCCTATAAGACACACATAAGCTAGAAAATGGAAGATTCAGATCCTTGCAGGTTTTAATGGTTCAATGGTCTGGAGGATGCTGGGACATCCCCTCTGAGGTACAGGACAAGTTATTAAAGTTGTACCCTCTACCATTAAGAACGAGGTATAGCATGTTGGGGATCTTGGCTTTTGAAAGCCAAATACTGCTCTCACCTATTTATGATGGGGAGATTTGGAAGGCTGCCAGTTTCAAATGGAGCACAGAGCAGAGAGGGTTGTGTTCCAGGTTCAGGCTGTGACAGACATAAGCTGCCCTGCTGCTCAGCTGATTACATGACCTATTATCCATTGACACTACAGATACCTGATGGAGAGCACTGTGTAGCATCTCTGGCAAACTCTACTAGAAAGTTAACATCACAGATCTTAGGTTCTAGAGCAAAGTCATGCCTTTTAATTGCTTGAAAACAGCTCCTGGCATACCTCCACACCCAACAGAAATTGAAAATCTGATATCAGGTGATTAACTAGAGCTGCCCATCATGAGGTGGGTGTTATCAGATTCACCAAATCATCAGATCAGATAGACCCAGTAGCAATCTATCATTTGACAGAAATGATACATTTGGGATCAAGCCTGAGCAAGTGCACACGGTATGTGTAAGTTACATGGACACATAGCCTAGATTCCCCTATCACTTACATCTCTTACACTAATGTATCTCCTTCAACCTATTCCTATGATCTCATGGGGAATTACCTATGATCAGTTGTATCAGTTATATATTGCTACAGTTATACCATATAATAACCAAAAAAATCTTTATGAGAACCAACAATGAGCATTTATTATTCACACATCTACGGCCAGCTGGGAATTGGCTAGGCATATGTTCTAATCTTGGCTGGGCTTGCTCACATTTTGGGGTTGGCTGCTGGGTGAATAGAACAACTTAGCTTTGTTCCACATGTCATTCATTCTCCATCAGACTATCCTGGTCATATTCTTATGTCAGTGGCAGAGGCACAAGAGAAGGCAAGACCATCCAAGTAGTTTTCAAGCCTCTGCTTGAATCACATGTGCTAACATTCTACTGGCCAAAAGCAAAACCACATGGTTAAGTTCAGAGTCAGAAGGTGAGGCAGAATGCTCCACCCACAGTGGGAAGGCAATGCAAAAGTATATGGCAAAAGGCATGGAGACGGGGGAAGTGAAGAACTGCGGCTATTTTTTGTTAATATTAACATGCCAAGTGACAGATAAGGAAAAAGTAGGCCGTGTTCAGGGATGGACCGGCTGGATAAATTGGGGTGAGACAACAGTGACTGGCTTCTCCACTACAGCCTCTCTCAGAGGGGGCTGTATGGATTACTGGTGAGGCAAAAATCTTCCTGATGGACAGAGCTTCTAACAGTGCCCTTGGTCATCCATGTTGATAGAGAGACATGGCTTGAGTTAAGGATAAAAACAGTCTTTTGATTATGGTGAAATGTGCATATTTTTGTATCATGAAATGTCAACTCACCTGAGGAAGCAACAATTAGGCAGATAGGATGATTCCAATAGATTTCAGTCAGTCTTATCCTTACCCACTCCAGGTTTGTACAGCAAACCCATGAATGGAGTAATCACGGTGACAGAGATAGAGGGAGGCCACGTATGGGCCCAAAAGCTTGGTTTTCCTCTCATTAAGGGCTGCTCTAGTTACTACCACTATTGAATACGTGCTCTGTCAGCAGCAGAGACCAATGATTTGGTACCATTCCTTTATCGAAACCAAATAGCTACTTGGTAGCAAGTTGTGTGCATTGATTTCCTTTCACCCTGAAGGAGGAATTCATTCATTCCTATACTAATTAATTTGCACTCTTAATATAGGCTTGCCTTCCTTTCCAGCAGTACCTCTGCTATCATTACTATCTGATAGTCTACAGAATGCCTATTATCAACATAGTATCCTGCATTACACTGCCTCAGGTCAAGAAACTGTTTTATAGCAAACAAAGAACATGAGTTATTACATCCATGGTCCTATGTATACAGCATCATCCAGAAGCAATTAATCTAGTAGAACAATGAAATGGCCTATTACAGAGTCAGCTTAGGCATCAGCTCAGATATAATATCCTGTAGGATTAAGGTTCTATTTTCCAGGATAGGATACATGCACTATACCAATGGACAGCATATGATTCCCTGTTCCCAACTTCAAGGTGCAGGAACCAAGAGGATAGAAATAGGATTGGCCTTTCTTACCACCATTCCCAGTGAGCTACTTGTAGAATGTGTTTCCCATTCCTACCACCTTAGGCTTTGCTGGATTGGAGGTCCTGTATCCTGACAGGGTAAGGGGAAGAAGCTGGCACACTTCCCCCAGGAAGCACTGTAAGGACTCCACAAAACTGAAGCTACAGCTGCCAACTGGTCCTGTTGGGTTGCTCATGTCTGTGGGACAACAGGCAAGAAAGGGGAATTAATATGTTGGTTAACATGAGGAGCTAGAAATGTGACTACAAAAAGAAACAGGGAGAATGTGTCTGGAACTCAGGTGATTCACTGGGGGCATGTCTTGATGTTTCCGTGCCTGAGGTGAACAGTGAACAAACAATTGTGATACTCATAGCCTAAAAAGGGCAAAGTAACCAAGACCCTAGATCTCTGAAGGGATGAAGGTCTGGGCCACTCAGGCAGTCAACCAAACTAGACTAGCTGAATTTCTGGCAGAGAGCAATGAAAATCTCAAATGGCTGGTGGAAGAAAGAGATGATGAATATATTTTGGCCTTGGGTTCAGTTGTAGTAACAGGAACTGTAACAGGAACTGTAGCTTGTCTAATCGTCTTGGGCAGTCTTTTATACTGTTGCTGACCATCACTTTGAAGACTCAGTGATAGAATGAACTTAACATGGGACTCAAGCAGTTCTGAATAGGTAAGAACTATTTATTCAAAAACAAACATCTCTTTTGCCAAACATCACATCTCCTTGTCAACTTCTGATATCAGCCACAACTGCACTTAGAGAGTTCTGAACTCAGACCTGTCCGTTTTTGCTAGTGAAATCCTACCACAAGTGTGAGGCATGCATTTTTCCGCTTTCTGTTCCAAGTCCTTTTTCAATGTTGGGGTAGCCTACTTTCTCTCATAAAAGGATAGCTCAGAAATTCTGGGGTAGTCACTTCTCCTGGAGGTAACTTTCAACTAATAGGGGATGGAAACTGGTTAATAATTATGCTATCTGTATTAGGTGAATATTTTGAGGAGGCAGTTTGTAAACTTCTCAGGTCTTAGAGTTCAAAATGGCAACCTTGGTAATATACTTTTGTATGGGTTTTCTTTCTCTTGCTCTTCCTGTTCTCTCGCTTCTGCTTCCTGTGATCACCTCACAAATGCCATACTTACCCCCAAGTCTTTTCCTCAGGGTCTACTTTCAGGTGGGCTAAACTAAGACAGGTACCATTAATCAAATGCATTTATATATCTTTCCATGTAAGTATTTTAGAGATTTTCTAGACTGTGCAAATAATTATTCATGAAGAATTATTTGCAAGGTGAGGTAAGGACAGCATTTTAAATTAAAGATTTTTTTCTGTTTAGGCAATAAAAGAGTTGATGACACGATGCCTGCTCACTGTGAAACATACTGAAACTACCTTCAATTCAATTTCTATCTGATAATATTCTAAGAATATCTGACACTTTGATAGTATATGAACTAATGACCAAGTGGTGAAAAGCTCTATATGCCAATAAATTTCAACTTCATAATTTCTATGACATATCAGCTTCAAGTTGTCACTGAAAATTTAAATCCAATATTAGTCTCTGCCAGAAAATTCTTTAGCAATTCTTATAATATAAATGCACTTAATACTTTTCATGCTAAAATAGTCACAAAAATTGAATTACTCACTTAGTCAAATTCACTTTTTTGCATTGAGTCTGTTTTTGATCACCAAACTCACATTGACTTCATTTTCAATGCTCACCACATCCTGAAATCTCCCACCTTGGTATTTGCAGCACTAATGGCACTTTATTTTGGTTATTCTACTTTTCAGTATTTTGGTAATAAGACATTCTGCCAGATTATAAATGCTTTATTATTTTTTTTAGCATAGAGGGAGTTTGGTGGTAGATATATGACCATTTGATGTTTTTATGACTAAGAGTTCAAGCTCAGGCTTTCTTTCTTATAGAATGTAAATGCATACCCACACATGTATGTGTAACTGTTATGAAAATTAAGCTTAGTCACTAAAAGAAGATTCACTATCTGAACTTTCTTCTGTATTTTTTTCACCTTCACCATCAGGCACTGGAGCATCTGGCCTCCTGAAAGAGAAGGAAACAATTTGGTTTTTCCAGTTGAAAAAAAGCAATTACTATCTGTAAATTAGGTTCATCCTAGAATATTGCTGTTAATAAGTTCACCAAGTCTGTGTCCTTAACTGAGGGTCTCCCAGTCTCCTCCACAGCATGCTTCTCTTTGGCTTTTCCAGCACTCTGGGGATTACTAGTGCTATTCCTGTATGGGCCACAGCGCTGTTTTCTCTTGCCAGTCCTTACAGAATTTGCTAGTTCAGTACTTTCTGCTTCTCATTCCATGGAGACCCAACTACAGACAGAGATGTGATGTGGAGAGGCTGGCGTGACCAGTGCTACATCTCCGTAGTCTCCAAGTATACAAGAGGTACAGAGAAAGGAAAGCTAGAAATGGAAAGAAAACGAAAATCTTCATGTTCCAGGAAAGCTGCAGAAAGAAATTTACAAATGGAAGAGAGTTAAAGAATGGCCATTAAGAAACACAGACAGTATGGAAATTTTGCAGGGGAGAAGAGGGCCTGGTAAAAGGTTCTTAATGTTTGTTGAGTGTTTTCACTTATATTTTATCTTCATAGAATGAATGTAAAAAGTATGAGTTGGTAAAAATAATGTCTTGAAGACTCCCTAGGTAAAACAAGGAGATATGAGAATGATTAAACTCAACTTTGCAGGGAGATATAATAAACCAAATGAAATTTTACAACAAACCAAACATTCAACTAGATAAGTTCCATAGTGTTTGCTAGTAAATTATCTAATCAATATGGTAATACTATTATTCAGCCTCTATTCACTCTCACTGAGAAAATAAGTTAAGCAAGTAAAGTATACTTTTGGGGAAACTAACAGGGAGTGGAAGAATAATATAGCTGCTCTGTCTTAATAATTGAGAACTACCAGACTTATTTCTCCCTCAGGCTCTTTGATTCTTATTAAAGATTTAGGACACCAACCAATAAAACTCTGCTTTGCCATAAATAAAATCACTGTTACTAAAATTAAAACATGTATAGTCTACCATGTACATTTAGTTATTAAAAATTATGGCTGAGTTTTGGCTTATAGTTTTTAATATCATATCTGTCATGTACAAAACAGAAAGAAATGCTGGCACTGCTCCCCAGCAATCGGTAAAACAGAAACTCATTTGCTCTGCTGCACAGTTTTAGATTATACCTATTAGGAAGTCACATGTACTCGATACAGTAAAACTTGGAAGCTGGGTAAGGCGTTTACCAGGTTTTGACTGATACTCCATCTGCCTAAAATACTAATATGAGACCACAGTCTTCATTGCTCTCCATAGAAGCAAGACTGTGGAACCACTGGGCATGAATACTGGGCACAATTTCCAAGTAAATCTGTCTTTGCTGTATTTGTGATTTCTTAATGCCTTTACTTTGTTAAAAAAGAAAAAAATTACCAGAGGGAATTTGAATACAATGTAAAAATTATATCTATGGCAACTCAAACAAATAAAACAATGTATATGATACCCCTAAAATAAATGCTACTTAAGGGTAAAAGCAGCTTAAGCCTAAAAGGAGCTGAAATTATAACATTAATGTATGTGTGTAACCATTTTTTAATACATGTGATCATCACAGCTGTATAGCATAGTGGTTAAGAACACACATTCTGTTTATTTTTTCAAAAAACCAACTCTTGGTTTCGTTGATCTGCTCTACAGTTTTTTTAGATTCTATATTGTTTATTTCTGCTCTGATCTTTATTATTTCTCTTCTTCTGCTGGGTTTAGGCTGCCTTTGCTGTTCTGCTTCTATTTCCTTTAGGTGTGCTGTTAAGATTTTGTATTTGGGATTTTTCTTGTTTCTTGAGATAGGCCTGGATTGCAATGTATTTTCCTCTCAGGACTGCCTTCGCTGCGTCCCAAAGCGTTTGGATTGTTGTATTTTCATTTTCGTTTGTTTCCATATATTTTTTAATTTCTTCTCGAATTGCCTGGTTGACCCACTCATTCGTTAGTAGGGTGTTCTTTAACCTCCATGCTTTTGGAGGTTTTCCAGACTTTTTTCTGTGGTTGATTTCCAGCTTCATAGCATTGTGGTCTGAAAGTATGCATGGTATGATTTCAATTCTTGTAAACTTATGAAGGGCTGTTTTGTGACCCAGTATATGATCTATCTTGGAGAATGTTCCATGTGCACTCGAGAAGAAAGTATATTCTGTTGCTTTGGGATGCAGAGTTCTAAATATATCTGTCAAGTCCATCTGATCCAATGTCTCATTCAGGGCCCTTGTTTCTTTATTGACCGTGCGTCTAGATGATCTATCCATTTCTGTAAGTGGGGTGTTAAAGTCCCCTACAATTACCACATTCTTATCAATAAGGTTGCTTATGTTTATGAGTAATTGTTTTATATATATGGGCGCTCCAGTATTCGGCGCATAGACATTTATAATTCTTAGCTCTTCCTGATGGATAGACCCTGTCACTATTATATAATGTCCTTCTTCATCTCTTGTTACAGCTTTTAATTTAAAGTCTAGTTTGTCTGATAGAAGTATGGCTACTCCAGCTTTCTTTTGGCTTCCAGTAGCATGATAAATAGTTCTCCATCCCCTCACTCTCAATCTAAAGGTGTCCTCAGGTCTAAAATGAGTCTCTTGTAGACAGCAAATAGATGGGTCTTGTTTTTTTATCCATTCTGATACCCTATGTCTTTTGGTTGGTGCATTTAATCCATTTACATTCAGTGTTATTATAGAAAGATATGGGTTTAGAGTCATTGTGATGTCTGTATGTTTTATGCTTGTAGTGATGTCTCTGGTACTTTGTCTCACAGGGTCCCCCTTAGGATCTCTTGGAGGGCTGGTTTAGTGGTGACAAATTCCTTCAGTTTTTGTTTGTTTGGGAAGACCTTTATCTCTCCTTCTATTCTAAATGACAGACTTGCTGGATAAAGGATTCTCGGCTGCATATTTTTTCTGTCTAGCACACTGAAAATCTTGTGCCAATTCTTTCTGGCCTGCCAAGTTTCAAAAGAGAGATCAGTCACGAGTCTTATAGGTCTCCCTTTATATGTGAGGGCACGTTTACCCCTTGCTGCTTTCAGAATTTTCTCTTTATCCTTGTATTTTGCCAGTTTCACTATGATAT